AAATTACGAACATACGGTACATATTTTTACCGCATGACACATCCTATTTTAGGTAAAATACACCAAATCACGGAGCACTGTCAAACACGTCTAACCCAACTATTCTTCACAACCTGTGACCTCTTTTCCGAGACCATGTTTGGCCGGAATCGCGATTCGGTGTATGTCGGCTCGGCCCCCGGTCGACAGACATGGTAGCCCAAATCTAGTCGGATATGAAAATTCTTCAAAATCCATAGGCTTTAATGCTAAATTGACTATATTTGAGAGGGTTTTATGAAGATACATGACCAGATACAGAAAAAAGCGAGATGCTATCTTGTAGATTAAATCGTCTACTGTCTGCGACTTTTGAAGTGTTTTTCAATCTGAGGTACGGAAATCGTGTTCCCAAGAGACTGAAAGTAGCCATGCTTTACATTAGACCCAATGGCAAAAATTCGGAATCTGACGAAATTGGCCATTTTTACGTCTGATTTATGAAAATTCTAGACAGGGTATATAAAAACCCGAGATGCTATCAGGTGGGAAATTTCATTGTCTATTACCGCTTTTTGAAGTGTTTTTCGATCTGAGACCGGCAAATCGTGTTCCCAAGAGACTGAAAGTAACCCTGTTCTACAGCAAGACTATGGCAGAATTCTAATATTTGCTGGAAGATATCTTAGGTGATAATAACCTTACTACTAATTGCAATGCTTCATTGGAAAGCTCAACACTGGCACTGTCATCGGTCTTTGCATTGCTATTTCACAGAACAACAAAAAATAACGTTTTGAAGCCTTTGAATATTGAATTACTTTTCATCGACGGGCTCGATCCCCATCACCACCAACAATTTTCCGGGAAGTCAGGATTTTAGAGATATTTAAGCAGAATTGCAGAGCTGTGTTAATACCACGGCACTTACCCAGTAAACATGCCGACGTCGGCCGACGTCGGGGTGACGTCGGCAACTCGGCATCGGCATGCCGACGTCGGCCCGACGTCGGTCCAACCTCGGCACGACGTCGGCTGGATGTCGGATATGCCCGCATGTTCCGACGTCCTGCCGAGGCCCAGCCGACGTCGGGCCGACGTCGGACCGAGATCAATTGCTGAGGTCCAGCCGACGTCGGGGCGACGTCGGACCGAAATCGGCCGCTGTTTGGACCGTTAAAATAATATAAAATACATGTTTCATGCTTCATAAAGAGCTTCTGTATTCAAAATATCCTCAGGAAACTCAAATCTTCCTCCACGCCGCAACCCCCTGATCCGGACTGGACGGGAAACTTTATCCCATTTGGGATTGCCCGTAAGCCGAGCTCGCCCGTAGCCGGGAGCGGTGAGTGCTTGGGGGCTGCTCGGCCTATCCTTTGGTCAGGCTCAGCCCCGGCAACTCACCAGGGCCGGGCTCAGTTCATATAGAAAGGCCAGTCGGCAAATGTCACTTTGCCAAAGTGCCACTTATCAAAGGGACACTTTGGGAAACGTTGGTGAATGGTGCAGGTGTGTAAGAGTGGCTATATTAATCCATTGTGGGGTCGCCCTTTCCAATAAGTGTCACGTAACAGCAATGGGACCAGGGACTCTATATGAACTGGACCCAGGGTGCTCGCCAAGAAGACCAATGTCTCCATCCTATGATCCTTCAGGCTCTGAAATGGTCTTGTCAGACCGAAAGGGCATAACCCAACAAAACAAACCAAATTCGTTAGCTGGCTGCGTGGTGTAGTGGTTAGCGCACTAACCTCGCGTTCGAATGACACGGGGTTCGAATCCCATCGCACGGCTGATGCTTTTGGCGTGTTGTCCCAGTAAACATGCCGACGTCGGCGACTGGGGGGCTCGAATCCCGCCGCCGGTTGATACTTTTGGCGCGTTGTCCCAATAAACATGCCGACGTCGGCCCCGTCGGTCCAACGACAAACGATCTCGTCAACCTCAGCAAACGATCTCGGCCCGACGTCGGCTCGACGTCGGCTGGACTTCGGCTGGACGTCGGAACATGCGGGCATATCCGACGTCCAGCCGATGTCGGGCCGAGGTTGGACCGACGTTTGGCCGACGTCGGGCCGAGCCTCGGCCCGACGTCGGGCCGACGTGGTCATGTTTACTGGGTTAAATACGCATTTTAAGAAAGCTGTTTTTTCAGCATGAGTTAGGTCTCAGAAACAGCAACATGTCCATAAAATGAGGAAAAATAAGTGCAAATGATCGCGCAAGAGAGTATCCTTAGCTCCCTAGCAACCACCTAGCAACGTAAGGCAAAATAGTAAACAACTCCTGTTGATATCAGGTACTCAGCCTTGGAAGCACAGTAGACGGTCACCATACTGGGCTTCATACTGAATTTTGCATACCAGAATGGATGTTTCCAACTAAAATTATTTTTTAGCGAAATTTATATTTGTTGCCCTACTATTTTTCGTAAAACCGAGATATACAAACTTAATGATATCAAAAATAATATTGTGATAATGAAAACCGCCATATAAAACAAGATAATTGCTAAGATCATGCCTACTAAACTTGGTCCTACCCCCTAATTCAATATACCCTGTGTCGGCTCGCATTAGGCGCGCGTTTGCAAGCTTTTCGTGGTTTCAAACGTTCAAACATGTGATTTGATGTTGCTCCCATACATTAGGGTGGGTGTCAAGGTCACCTGAAGGTCAGGTCAGGTCATTGACCTTTGGTGACCTCGGGTGACCTCGGTTCACCCTTTCAAGTTTTGCATGTTTCTAGGCTAGTTTTTGGAGCTGAATTCGAATTTAACAAACCATTTAAACATTTACGAAGTAGTTTTAGTGCCTTCGTAACATGTTACGAAGCTGTGAGAGGCGGTTGACACGTATTACGAATACCCGTCACAACCCCTACCGGTTGACCTGACCTGACCTGACCCGACCTGGTCTAAATGCTTAAAGACATCATCTCGGATCAAAACTAACACGATATTCGTGATCGGCACCCCGGAAAACCACATAGCAGCCACACTTTACGACTTTCTAACAGGTCCCGATTTTCCCGGTTTTCGGGTCACTGACCTGACCTGGAAGGTCACCCGATGACCTAGGACCTTAAAATTGGGTAGCATCGGCTTCCTCTCGTGACGGGCAACACGCTCGTTTTTTCCGCGAAGCTCTAGCTCAATCAGGGGCCAAACGCGAGGGGGGGGGGTCGTACCGCTGCCACCATTGTCGGAGAACTCACAAGCGTGGGTCAGCCAGATAGAGAATGAATGTATTGAGCGACAGAACAGAGTTTATATACCAAAACAGTTGGGCGTTGGTCCGCACTTCTTTAGGCGGTGGCCGAAACGGGGAACACGATGATTGGCTGACAAACGACAAGAGAAGCAATGCGATTGGTGGACGAAAAGGTTACAGCGAGGCTGGCGTGATGATAATCAATACCGGGGGAGCTGGGCCACGATGCTGCGGTTTTTATATTGTCCGACGCTCGTATTGATCTGGTCGGACAAAGCGAGCAGTACTTATACAAATCAATGTTGGGGTAGCATATAGCGAAATATACCGTGCGACACAACCCCCCCCCCCCCTTGTGCCGTCGAAGGACGCAAAATGGCCTGTGCCGGCAAGGGTAAAAAAACGTTTTTTCGTAATATATTTCAAGATTTCTTGTTGAAAAATGACACTTTTTCAACAAACAAGTTTCCAGTAATTCTGTTAACAGAGTGCTTCTTCTTCTTCGCCGTAACCGTGACAGTGGCGGATCCAGCTCAGAGTTTTTTTTTGGGGGGGGGGGGGGGGGGTAAACCATAACAATTTATCGATTCTTTCCACGTGTCGGGTCGCGGCCGGCCGGCCGCGGACCATTTTCAGAAGTGGCGGGCAGACCGTGCGTCGAGTACTTGCTTTCTCGCGCGGCGGTACTGGGGTTCACTAGCATTGTTTAAAATATTTTCATTTGCCATGAACTTGAAATTATACACTGTAATTAACGATCTTTTGCCAATTATTACAAGTTCTTCAAATTTATTCTTTGAAAGCAAATGATTTCATTTCACTCAAGAATTGTCTTGTCCACCACTACAACCGCCACCCAGCCGCCATCCATTGGAAGAGACAGGCTCTGCGGCACAAAGTGTCGTTTTAAACTGGACTGGGAACCAATGTGTGATGACATTTCGAGCTAAATTTATGCTCATTGTGTACCTAGAAGCATTGGGAACAACGCTCTGACTGTACATTTTTAGATTTTTGCCTCTAAATGGAAATATTTACAATCAAGTACTTTGCGAGCGCAGTTTAGAAGCTCCCGTAATGTTAAAGTACTATCTCCTACAAGTATGTAAATACTGCTCTTGGGAACCAACAGTTCGCATCGTACTAGCTTTAAATTATATCCATATTGTTCCCAGTACTTTGCTGAACACTGTGGTGAGTGTACATTTTTCGTTTTTTGCTTTACAAGCGTAAAATTCGTCTGGTTTTATACCACTTCATTCGCCTCCATAGCCCTGTAACGGCGCCGCGCGGCGCGGCCGGCCGGCGCCCGCTGTAGTTCCAAACACTGCCCGATAGATGGCAGGCGCAGAAGTGGTCCCAGCCGTCCCGGTACGATGCCTCGTCCATAGGCGTAATGTTAAAATTATGCCGTTTGGGAGGGGCAAATGCCCATTTTGCCCCCCCCCCCCCTGGATCCGCTACTGAACCGTGACTTCTTTGTCGTAAATTTTGAAAAGCTGAACCACATTTCCGAGTCGGGATCACGAAAATGGGTGCTATGGAAAAAGTTTCGAAAGTGCACGAATAACACAACTTTGAGTTTTTATCAAGCATGATAGCAGGTACAGTGTTGTTTTCTACAGTGAACACTGAACGAGGGGCGGCAATGATAGACATATTTTCAGAATTTACGTTGAGCTTGGGCAGTCCAGTCACTCTTGTTCCCATAAACTGCTGAAAACGACTGTGCCCATGCCCCGCTCTCCCCTAGTGTTTGTAACCTGTCCAGCTGTCGGTGACGCTCGTCCGATGTGTGCTCTGCAGAAGAAGTTCCTGCTGTTTACGGGCGCCGGCCGTGTGCTGGAGATGCGGACACCGGGCGTGAAGGACCTCACCGACCACACCACCTACGGTATCAAGGGCATCCGCGGCCGTAGCTGGCAGTTCAAAACGGTCAGTCGGGGGCACTCGGCAGTTCAAAACGGTCAGTCGGGGGCACTCGGCAGTTCAAAACGGTCAGTCGGGGACACTCGGCAGTTCAAAACGGTCAGTCGGGGGCAGTCGGCAGTTCAAAATGGTCAGTCGGGGGCAGTCGGCAGTTCAAAATGGTCACTCGGGGGCAGTCGGCAGTTCAAAACGGTCAGTCGGGGGCAGCCGGCAGTTCAAAACGGTCAGTCGGGGGGCAGTCGGCAGTTCAAAACGGTCAGCCGGGGGACAGCTGGATAACGGTCAGTTTGGGCGGGCAGATCTGACAGTCTAACACGGTCAGCGGAGCACCAGGAGAGGAAAGCATCATAACCACCGGCTTCAGCCGGTACATATGCAAGCGACAGATCTATTTTTTTTCCAACCGCGGACACCCACAAAAACCGAAGTGAATGCCGAGGCTCTGTGTGCCGGCCTGCAGGTGAAGTCGGAGATCCTGCGGGAGGAGGCGCGGCTGGCCCGGGAGGCGGAGAAGGACAAACAGCGCTCCGAGCTGCAGGCAGACATTGACGAGCGAAAAAAGCTCGGACTGGAGGTCGATGAAAACACCGAAAAAGGTACGTCACAGAAACCTGCCAGTGCCGACACATCACGTGGGCTATCAGCTATGCATATATAGTTGTCAATGTAAATTAGACAACTATATTGGTTAACTTGGTTAACTTTTGGTTAACTCTTGGTTAACTTTAAATACACTTCCGAACATACATAATCGGGTTTGTCAAAGTTGTCTGTGTATTTCTGTGCACTGCCGTATGCGTCGTGTGAGCATTGGTGCGCTGTCCGGCCGCAGCCAAGCTGGAGAAGCGTCTGGCGCTGGAGGACCGCGAGCTGCCAGAGATCCCGCTGGTGGTGCCGGAGCCGCCGTCGCCGGTGCTGGTCGGCGTGCCGGCCGCCGACGGCACGTTCACGCTGCTCATGGGCGGCTGGGATGCCGGCTGGGTGCACTCGGCCTCCTTCAAGGAGGCGCGGCCCACGGCCGTGCGCGTGCCCGGCGCCGAGCAGGTCGGCGTCAGCTTCCGAACCTTCAGGTGAGGACGTGCGGCTGCGACAGCGGCGACGTTTGTGGTCGGGGAGGGCTGCGACAGCGGCTGTGGACGTGAAGGACTGCGGCGTGGTCAGGACCGACTGATCTGAAATGGTGAAACAGAATCAGATCAGCCCTGCGAGGTGAGATACCTATTTTGAAAGTCGTGACAGTTGCGGTTATAATGCATTGTAGTGGATTGGGTTTGATGAATATCGGAAGCCCAAGTATTTAGTCAATGACTCAAAAAGTTATACAGGGGCCGTATTCACGTCGATCATTTTCGTAAGAGTTTTCTGACGTTTGACCTACTTCTTAAGTATTTTTTTTTTTATTCACGTGAACAGCGTCGACAAAAACTTAAGAAGTGTCGACGTGAATAACAAATTATACTTACGAAAGAAAATCGACTTACGAAGTCGACGTGAATACGGTCCCAGATCGAATTACGTTCAAACACATCAGGGCTGATGGTTAAGTTGACACGGTACGGTACGGCCGAAACGCGGCGCTGCGGACCGGTACCGCGGCGCTCCGGACCGGTACCGCGGCGCTCAGAGGCGGTACCGCGGCGCTCCAGTCCGGACCGGTACCGCGGCGCTCCGGACCGGTACCGCGGCGCTCCGGACCGGTACTACTACTGACTGCCCGCAGCGCGGACGGCAAGTACATGGTGCTGGGACTGGTGGACGGCCGGATTCGGATCCACGCCGTCCACGAGGACCCGTGGGCGCTGGACGACTACTGGCACCTCCACATGCACGACAACACGTACGGCCGCATCACGGGCATCTGCTTCTCCTACGACGGCAGGTCAGTGGGACGGCGAAACGCGCCATAAGCGTCCACGCAGAATACATCTGCCAGCTGAGAGAGAAAAAACGCTTGGAGAAACAATCGTCAGGCGATTGCATTTATTATTTGCCTATTTCTTTCACTCCTCCATTTCTACTTTATAGGTACTTTATACTTGTTCCTTAGTACCTACCTTTGGCTGCTATTCGCTGGGCAATACTTGACTCTATTTGCAGTGTGGTGCTTTTCTCTAAACACTGCGCAATATAACAATATGAATTATATTATTTAATTGACTTCCCTTTTGTCGCAGGAACCTCATTACGTGCGGCACCGATGGGAACATTTTTCTGTTCGACTTTGTGCCCCCTGAGGGCATAGCACGACCCCGGTCATCAAAGTTCGTCATTGGAGGACAGGTGAATGAAATCATTGTAATACGCAGTATTATAGCGGAGTGGGGGACACAATGTCATTACACGTCATGCAACTAGTAAGTGTGACGATTAACATCGTCAATTAACATCGACGATTAACACTTAGTTTCTAATTTTTATTTTTATTTCATTAATTTAATTTTAGTTCAGTGCTGCAAGTGCTGAAACCGTCGCAATGCGTATTGTTTCAGAGGGCTGGGGGACACAATGGTCAATGCCTTTGCAACTAGTAAGTGTGCTAATGCTGATTAACCCTCGCCCGCACATGCCATTTTCCCATCCTAGAACGCACATGGGCATAAGCGTAGGAACCATGGGTGCAAGGGTGCAGCTGCACCCACAATATTTATCCAGTGGGTGCAGACAATGTATTCTGCACCCACAATAATCTGAACCAAAACCCCCTTTTTCATCAACACTACTTCCCATGCAGTACGGCAAATTCAGGATATGTTGCCTACTATCCATCTTTCGAAGCATTTGCTACTGTGATCAGTGATGGTCTTCAAAACTTACATTTGTGCTGAAAAAAGGGAAATGGAGCATGTGATTGAACACATACCGAACCGATGACCCACTGTCAAAAATTTTAGCCCGATATCTTCGAAAATGGCTAAGTTGGCCGCTTTTACTTTTTGCGGTAGTCAATATTGACAATATTACACTGTAAACCAAATCTACAAGTTGGCTCCTTGTTACAAGTTTGGTTCCAATTCGCATAGGCGTCACCTTGTCGATTCACCAGCCCCAGGCTTGTTGGCTAACAAACTAACAGTTTGTCTACAAGTTTGGTTCCAATTCGCATAGGCGTCACCTTGTCGATTCACCAGCCCCAGGCTTGTTGGCCAACAAACTAACAGTTTGTCTACAAGTTTGGTTCCAATTCGCATAGGCGTCACCTTGTCGATTCACCAACCCCAGGCGTGTTGGCCAACAAACTAACAGTTTGTCTACAAGTTTGGTTCCAATTCGCATAGGCGTCACTTTGTTGAGTACTAGTCTGGGCCTTGTGAACCTACCAACTTCTGGATAGGCATAGCCGTTTCCTTGTCGGTTCAACAACCCCTGGTTTGTTGATGAACTAGCCTTTGACTGGGCATTGCTAGTTTACAAATTGTCAACAAGTAAGTGTACTAACGCTCAGTTCGAACTTGTTCTTTCTTACAATCGCTTTGTTTGCGTTGATAACCTTAAGAACTTACGATTCGCGTTCGTTTTCAATTGCCACGATACTGATTCAGGAAATATTTTCTATACGGACAGGTCATTTTTTGGCTGGAAGTGGTGCACAAAATCATGACTGGTATCAGTTATTGCTCAAAGGCTTGCGCTGACAAGAAACGAAATACTGATGGGTTATATAATCGATGAATGCATAGGGGAGAGCGGGGCCAGTTGAACCACTTTTTATATATTGACATGCACAGCAAGATCTAGTTGTCATATTGAAAAATGCTCAATGCCATGAAAAAATATGCTCTTTTGGCTTTATTTTAAGATATGTAAAATTATGTTTCAAACATATTTTGCTGCCAAACGCATGCTTATAAAAAAGCTCTACGCCCGTTTCAAATGACCCCGATGCGAGGGTCAATTGAACCAGCCCATGGGGTCAATTGCACCTATCCTTAACAATGGGATGTTTTCCTCTTTAAGGCCACTTTCTTAAGGAGATATTTTTTCCGGTTTACTTTTCCAAATGCTACATTCAATAGGTCGTTGGAAAGCTAAAAGTGCAAAGTTCCTCATAATAGGTGACATTAAGTACATAGACTATGGTAAAATGGGTGGATGAGAAAAATGAGAAATATCCCAGGCTATAGTGCGCTTTCAAGTAAAAGGCTGGAGAAAAAGGGGTCAAAAATTGAGCTCTATTAAACTACCATTTCAGTTTAAAAGCTCATTTCAAAGGTGGACTATTTCCTTTAAAGTTTACAGCCCCTGAACAATAACCATTGCAAAGGTCACCGGGGTCCATTGAAACGGCCTGTGGCCCTGTTTCAACTGACCCTCAGAGAAGCGTTTCAATTGACCCCATCCGCTCCCGCCATCTCGCACGCGCCGTAAAGCACATGTCAAACGAGCTGGAGGGACGGCATCATGCTGAATGAAGGGACAAATAAGGTGTTATTCCGGAGCCAGGAGTTCTTCTTTCAGCAAACAAAGGTATATGAGATATCACAAAATATTCATAAAAACGATTTCCCCCAAACGCCCCTCAAAAACACAAAAACAAGTGTCAAATCAAAATTACCGTCCGTTTGCCGCCCAAACGCCGTTGACATAGAAAGTGGTCGAGCGCGGATGCGCAGTGGTGTCGGCAACGCCATATGTTGCATATTGTTGAAAATAAAGCCATGTTTCATCTGACCCCGTGTTTCAACTGGCCCCGCTCTCCCCTACACCACATCCATTCGGAAGTTTCTGGAATCATTAGTATTTATTACGGTCACGTACCTACATCACGTAGTATGTAATTAATACTATTGACTGGAGACAATTCCAAGTGCATATTTTCGAATGGATGTGGTAAATGCATGAGGTATAAGGTATACCTCATGCATATGTCGCTCATGCTCATGCATTGTCGCCGCACTCATGCATTGGTCGCCGGGACATCAAGAAGGCGAAGCCCCCGCGTGGATCAACTCTGCCGGAAGGGTCAGCAAAGGACGTGTACATCCAAGAAAACTTAACCAGAGCGAACCAGGAGATAATGTTCCAAGCTCGGCAGCTGCGACGCGCCGGAAAGCTGTGGGCCGCCTGGTCCGACGGTTGCATCCTAAAGGTCAAGCGGACGCAGCAAGCCCCGACGGTGCGTTTAAGGTCGATGGGGGACCTCCGTCAGTTCGAGTAGTGAACCCAGACATGATCCCTCACGGCCAGAATAGCGAAGTGGACATCAGTGTGGTGTAAACGGACCAGACCGAACTGTGACCCAGTGAAGGTGATATGATATGGGGAGGGGGGGGGGGGGGGGGCAGGGCAGCAAGATAGAGGGAGGGGAAAGGGGGGAAGGGAGGCCAGGTGGGTGGGGGAATCAATTTGTATTTATTATGCTCGTGTTATTTATTTGATTCTTGTTCTTTTATTTTAAGCTTCATGTGATCTCAGCGAAGGTAGAAGCTTTCCTTCATGTGGTAGCCAGCCGTAAAGTGAAGCTCACTTCAATATGGCAGCTCTACTGTGCGGCGTATTTTGCACGCGAGAGACAACTTTTTGTTTTGGGTGACCGCTGTACATTAATTGGCCTTGAGCTCTGGTCAATAGTGGACGCTGTGGTTTGGGCGGGCCAGCGGAAATCGTGCGAGTCAAGGGAGTCAAAGTGCGAGTTCTGTTGCGGGGGGGGGAGGAGGGAGGGAAGATGTGTATTGTGTTGTCGTACTGCGCTGTGGGTAGCGCGTGGCTGGACGGACGGTCCGTGACAATCTATTGATCTGTGGCTGATCTATTAGAGTGTCCGTCCGAGAGCCGTACGACGGCTGACAGAGCCTGGGGGTCGCGAACTGGTGTGGTAACCGTTACGCCCACCTGGGACGCCCGAGTCGGTACGGCACTTGCGGTGTCGTAACCGGATCGGCGGGAACCAGCAGAACGCTGTTGGACCGGCGGTGAAAGTCGGAACCGAGCACTCGCCCACCAGTGGGGCGTCTGGTCGAGCAGGTCTACCCGCTAAGGCAGCCTGAGCACGAACCAGTGGCAGGGTCCGATCAATGACCGTGGTCCGACCAGGGTGTCAGCGCAATGGCCAGTCAGAGGCGTCTTTAAGGGCGCAGAAGCCCACCTCGGTCGACTGTGGCCGGTGCAACCTAGTCAGGTCGTTTGTGTGAATCTCCGTGTTCTTCCTTCGCCTCAGAGTAGCCGCTCTTCTCCAAATGCCCGAGCCGTTTTCTATGTGTATTTGTCTTGTAGCGAACAGCAGAGTCGAGAAACGAATTGACAATGTCGCCGAAAACCGCGGTCATATGCTGGCCGTCCCTAGTACTACCAATATGCCCGCAGGCGCGGCGAGAGACAAGCTCAACGTATGAGTCACCGTCCGGCTGCCGGGAGAGCCCCTACCGCGACCTTTGTCCACAGTCATGACGTCACGACAATGGGCTCCTAAACGTACGGGCAGCGGCCGCCTCAGGGGTGCCGCCGTGACCTTTGCACGACACGTTCTATAGCGTATGGCACAGCGGTTACTAGGAAGGTTGAGGCCAGCGGCAGGCCGGTTTACAAATAACAAACAAACTTGACGCGCAATTGACAACAGGTAACAGATTGATTAATAAGGCGGTGACAATATAAATAAAAATGACAACATGAAATGACAAATCGCATAGATGACAAATCGCATAGATGACAAATCGCATAGATGATCTCTACAGTACCCCCTCGCCAGACATGTCGCGGACAAAAGTGACATGGCGATATCTTACCGGAGGTCGTATGACGCGGCCGGAGCGGGTCGTCCGTAGTATCGGCCGAGGCTGCAATGGTGCAGCGTCAGCCCGAGCGACGGCTGCAGGGCGATTAGGTGCGTCACCGTAGATCAGAAGCTCCGGGCCGCTGGGCTCACTGCTGAGCGGTGGCGCGGCCGGCGGGCCGCTGGACTGAGTACCGTGCGGCTGCACAGTCGGCAGGTCAGACTGTCGATGACCGGATTCGTCTGGCGTCTCCAGGAAGGCGGCCTTACACCGGTCGATGCTGATGACCTCCTTTTTCTGTCGACGGTCGATGGTGATGGTTTTGGTGGTCCTTTCGGTAACCGGGAACGGTCCGTCGTATGGAGCGTCCAGCGGGTAGCGGTGACAGTCCCTGCGCACGAAGACGTGTGTCGCCGTCTGGAGTGCCGTCGGGACGTACGTGGCGCGCTGGACCGGACGTGGGAGTGTCGGCCGCACCTGAGACATGGCGCGCTTCAGGTCCTGTACGAAGCCGGCTGGTGATGCTGCTGAGGCTTGGCTGCTGATGAAGAACTCGCCGGGAAGCCGCAG